AAAACACATCAAGCAAATTTAACAAGCAGAATTCCCACACATTCTTGGCAGGAGAGAACTAGTTACTTCGTACACTGAACAAATGTTTGTAAATTTGTGCAATTGAAATATTGCTTTTTCATCATAAGCCATTTATGTACTGACGAAAGTACTAAGAAAAATGAATCTTGATGAAGCGATTGTACAACCACAAGTCTTTCGTAATGTTTTTTTACATTTTTTACATTTTTACATTTCTTCAAAAGTATAGTGGAAATAGTTTGTAATCATAAATTAACACAGCTTTTTGTAGTGTACAATGCCATAATTATAAATCTCTTGAAACTACAAACGCACATTCATACCAAAAATGACAAGATTAGCCTGTGCTTTCTTCAGAGGGTATTTGCCATTTTATAATATATGACTTCTTATAATTAATGCTTCTATGTTGAAATGTTATGGTATCTATACAATACAGCACAGAAACAGGCCCTCGACCCACCAAGCCTGTGTCGATTCCTGTTCCTTATTTAGACCTGCTAAATATTGCCCCTGCATGTTTCTAGTTCATGTATGTATCAAGATAGCCTTAAATGTTACTAATCTGCCCGCGTCCAGAACCTCCACTGGCAGTGCATTCCAGCTACTCACCACCCTCTGAGTGAAAAATTTTCCCTACACTTCTCCCCTAATCTTTCCCCCTCTCACCTTGAACCTGTGCCCTCTTGTAGTTGGCCTCTCCACCCTGGGAAAAAGCTGGTGACTATCCACCCTATCTATGTCTCTCATAAGTTTGTAGACCTCTAACAGGTCACCCCTCAATTTCTGTCTTTCCAGTGAAAACAATCCAAGTTTATCCAACCTCTTCTCATCATTAAAACCCTCCAGACCAGGCAACATCCTGGTAAACCTTCTCTGCACTCTCTCCAAAGCATCCACAACCTCTGGTAGTGTCGTGACCAGAACGGCACACAATATTCCAAATGTGGCCTAACTAAACTTTTGTATAAAAATGACTTGGAGGAAAATGTAGGTGCTCTATCAGTAAGTTTGCGGACAACACCAAATTTGGCGGAGTTGCAGATAGTGAGAACAATTGTAAAAGGATACAGCAGGATATACACAGATTGCAGATTTGCACAGAGAAATGCCAGATGAAGTTTAATCTGGACAAATGCAAGGTGATGCATTTTGGAAATCAAATTCAGGTGTGAAGTTCTGTGTGACAGAACTTGCCAGCTTTTATATTCGATGTCCCTGACAACGAAGGCAAATGTACTTAAAAATTTCTTGACCATCTATCCACCTTCGTGGCCACTTTCAGGGATCTGTGGACCTGTATGACCAGATCCCTCTGAATGTCAATACTCCTAAGGGTTCTGCCATTTAACATATAATTCACACCTGAATTTGATCTTCCAAAATGCATCACCTTGCATTTGTCCAGATTAAACTTCATCTGGCATTTCTCTGCGCAAATCTGCAATCTATGTATATCCTGCTGTATCCTTTTACAATCCTTCTCACTATCTGCAACTCTGCCAAATTTGGTGTTGTCCGCAAACTTGCTGATAGAGCACCTACATTTTCCTCCAGGTCATTTTTATATGTTTATCTATATTAGAAACAACAAAGGTCTCAGCACTGATCCCTGCGGAATACCACTAGTTACTGATCTCTATTCTGAAAAGCACCCTTCCATCGCTACTCTGTCTTTCGTGACCAAGCCAGTTCTGTATCCATCTAGCCAGCTCACCCAGGGTCTCATGAGGCTCTATCTTTTGTACCAGCCTGCCATGAGGTACCTTATCAAATGCCCTATTGAAGTCCATGTAGACAACATCCACTGCCCTTCCCTCACCAATCATTCTTGTCACCTCATCAAAAAACTCAAACCAAATTGGTGAGATATGATCTTTCCCACACAAACCCGGGCTGCCTATCACTAAACAAGTCCATTCGCTTCCAAATGTGAATAAATTCTGTCTCTCAGTATCTTCTCCAATCACTTCCCCACCTCTGACGTTAGGCTCACCGGCCTATAATTATCTGCACTTTACCTGTTTCCCTTCTTAAAGGAAGAAACAACATTTGTCATTCTACAGTCCTCTGGAACCTCGCGTGAGGCCAAAGAGGATGCAAAGATATCTGTTAAGGCCGAGCAATTTCCTCTCTTGCCTCCCACAGTATCCTGGGTTAGATCCTGTCTGGCCCTGCGGACAACGTGTCTTAATCACTACTGCCAGTGGCTCTGACCTCAATAATCATGAAGTGCTTCCAGAGACTGGTTATGGCCCAAGTCAACTCCAGTCTCCCAACCTGCCTCGATCCCCTACAGTTTGCCTACCAATATAACAGGTCCACAGAGGATGCCATATCCCTAGCCCTGCACTCATCCCAGGAACATCTGGACAACAAAGACACCTACATCAGACTCTTGCTCGTTGACTACAGCTCCACCTTCAACACCATTATTGTTTCTGGACTGATCTTAAAACTCCGGACCTTGGTCTTGGCTCTGCCCTCTGCAACTGGATCCTCAGCTTTCTGATCCACCGACTGCAATCAGTGAGGATAGGTAACTGCACCTCCTCCATGATAACCCTCAACACTGGAGCCCACCAAGGATGCATTTTCAGACCCCTACTGTACTCCCTGTAATACCTATGACTGTGTTGCCAAATTCTGAATGAACGCCATCTACAAGTTCGCTGACGACACCACTGTAGTGGGACAGATACCTAACAACGAGTCAAAATACAGAAGGGAGATAGAAGGCTTGGTGATGTGGTGTATTGTCGGCAAAACTAAAGAACTGACCACTGACTTCAGAGAAAAAGGAGGAGAACACGTCCCCATCTGCATCAACGGAACTGAGGTTGAAAGGGTGAAGAGCATCAAGTTCCTGGGAGTGACGATAACCGACAACCTGTCCTGTATTTCCCATGTAAATGTGACAGTCAACAATGGCTCTGCTTCCTCAGGTGGCTCAGGAAACTTGGCATGTCCATAAGGTCCCTCACCAACTTCTACAGATGCACCATTGAAAGCAGACTGTCCGGGTGCATAGCAGCCTGGTATTGCAACTGCTCTACCCAGGACCATAAGAAACTACAGAAGATGGTGTGCACAACCTAGACCATCATAGAAACCATGCACTCCATCCATGCACTCCATTTACACGGCTCGCTGCCACAGAAAGCCTGCCATCATCATCAAAGACCCATTGTATTCTGGTAATGATCTCCTACAACCTCTTCCGTCAGGCATAAGAGACAGAAGCCTGAACACACGCACAAGCAGGTTCAGGAACAGCTTCTTTCCAGCCATTATTAGACTGATGAATGGACTCTCTAGCCTCAAATAATGCTGATCTTGCTAACAGCGATCTCACCCAGCGTACATCCTGTGAAATGTAACCTGTACTACTCTAAGTCTTTTTGATCTGCTTATTTTGATCTGCCTGCACCACTCCTGTGTTTCACTTCATTTAGGTACACGTGACAATCAATCAATCAATTAATACATTTCAAATCACACAATACTTCCTCCTCCATTATGTTAACCTGCCCAAGAGTATTCACACACCTTTTCCTAACTTCAACATCCCTCATGTCACTCTCTGGTGAATACCGATGTAAAGTATTCATTAAGGATCACATTCATTTCCTCTGGCTCCACACATAACCTCCCTCCTTTATCCTTGAATGGGCCTACTCTTTGCCTAGCTACCCTCTGGTTCCTTATATATGTTATATTGCTTTGGGATTCTCCTTAACCCTGCTGGTCAAGGACATTTCATAACCCCTTTTAGCCCTCCTAACTGCCTGTTTGAGCTCCTTTTCTCTATATTCTTCAAAGATATTGTCTGTTTTTATTTGCCTAGACCTTAGGTATGCCTCCTTTTTTTTGACTAAGCTGATAATTTCCCCTGTCATCTTTGGCTCCTGAATCCTGCCATTCCTGTCTCCTTCATTTTCACAGGAACACGCCTGTCCTGCACTCTAATCAACTAGTCTTTAAAAGACTTCCACGACATTTGTGGATTTACCCTCAAACAGCCGCTCCCAATCCACTTTCTCCCATTCTTGGCTAATTTAGTTATATTTGGTCTTTTCCTAGTTTAACACCTTCATCCAAGGTCCACTCTTGTACTTATCCTTAAGTATCTGAAAACTTACAGAATTATGGTCACTATTCCTAAGATCCTGCCACACTGAAACTTTGATGACCTGGCCGGGCTCATTTCCCAATACCATATGGCCCCCTTCCCCATTGGACTAACCATATACTGTTTCCAAAAATCCTCCTGGACACATCTAACAAATTGCACCCCGTCCAACCCCCTGGCACTAAGGGATTCCCAGTCAACATGGGAAAGTTAAAATCACCCACCACAACAACCCTGTTATTATTGCATCTTTCCAGAATCTGACTACATATTTCTTCCTCCATCTCTCACTAACAGCTGGGAGGTCTGTCGTACACTTCCAAAATTGTGTTTGCACCCTTCCTGTTCCCGAGTTTTACTCATACAACCATCTACGGTCATATAAAATAATTAATCTTAAAATATTCAGCTTCAGTATTTGTCCAAAATTTGTACTGTGAAATTAGATATTCTTTTCTGTATGAGACAAAAAAGAATGTCACGGCACTACAGTTTGTTAAATAACTGTTATTATATCAGTCGTAACTCATTTAAGTTGAATTACTGACGGGGAAAAGTTCAACTTCAGTAGGCTTAGAAAATGACTGCTTGTGGTTCATTATAACCTCCAACTATTTTTCCTGTTTATTGACTTCAATGGAAAAGAAAGTCAGGTAAATTGAACTGGTGTGAGTAAAGGGTAGCTGGTCCACAACTGAGCATTTGGCTCCCCCTACCCACTGCCAAAGTTGGATTTTACTCCCTCTATTACTTCACAAAAGTGGATGGAGTCTCCCCAGTGTGTTGTTTTAAGTGGATTAGCACATGTCAGATAAGAGAGGTTCTGCTTCTACTTAGACATTCTTACCTGCAAATTTTCTGTTTCTGTCTTGTGGTCTCGTTTCAAGTGCAAAATGGCAGCATGATATTCTGTTAAAATAAAAATAGCATTAGTCTAATTGATGTTGTTTAATGGTGTGAATAATATAACATTGCATTAAATCATATCAGTAATTGAAAACACTAACGTTCTTTAATAAAGTTCTTTTCTCTAAAACCGGTACAATATGAAGCTTGTGTAAAAGGTATTGTCTTAATAAAAGAAGAGGTGTTGGCTCTTATTTTTCTGATCACAATCAAAGCCAGTTGTTAACATTCTGTTTGAGATGCAATATACCACTTGTGCAAAATCTTATTGAAGAAGATAATGCATATAAAAGGGCTACATACAGGAACAGAAATGACTAATGATCCAAATACCTGCTTCTATAAATTTAAAGAAAAAGTACCTCTCATTATAGTTATTTCCAAATAAAGAATATCATTTAGGAATGACAACTTTTATGAAGAGAATACTTTGTGCAATATAGAATCCAGCACAAAGATTAAATCATGGTAAGAAATGTTCTCTTATGTGCTACAGTCCATTTCATATGGGGATGCCCATATTATGTTCTCAATTAATGTTCTTTCCCCTATGACTTCAGATCATTCAGGTACGTTTAAGTACAAGAAAAACTTACTTATCAAGAATAGACAATGTAAGAATTTGCTGGATGTGGGGAGAAAGCCTTACTTCCCCTAGAAGTGGATGAATACATTATTTTCATTTCTGCACTTGTTCAATTGACGTGACATTTTATGTAAAGAACATTGCTTATCATTAGTTCTTTCTAATATGCACTATGTCCTCTGACCTAGGACACAGTCGTCAATTTTCTACTGTATTTTATTTGCTACTGTTGGATCTTAATGGAATACAGTTTTCCTGCAACAAGATAAAAATTGAATGCTACTGCCCTCTGTTGGTGTAATGCAGAACATATTTCCTACAGGGCAATAAACTCTTAAATCTTGACTCATCCACTCTTCAGTTATAGCATGCTGTCCGTGTGTGTGTGTGTGTGTGTGTGTGTCTGTGTGTGTGTGTGTCTGTGTGTGTGTGTGTGGTCATTATCACTAGAAAAATCACTTTAGTTTTCACATGCAGGAATCAGTTTGCTACGTGCCAAGAAAACATAAATCATTCATACTAAATGCAAAGAGATAGTAGGAACTGCCGATGCTGGAGCCTGAGATAACAAGGTGTAGAGCTGGATGAACGCAGCAGGCCAGGCAGCATCAGAGGAGCAGGAAAGCTGACCCGAAACGTCAGCTTTCCTGCTCCTCTGATGCTGCCTGCCTGCTGTGTTCATACTAAATGCAATACTGCTTTACTGTTCATTTCACTTCTATCCCTCATGGATTGTGGGCCTTCACATTCATGTTTTCTCTGGAGTGAAAGGACAGAATAAACTTGATTTTCATTTGTTCGTGGGATGTGACCACTGATGACCAGGCCAGTATTTATTGCCTATCCCTAAATTTCCGCGAGAAGGTGGTGGTGAGCCTCCTTCTTGGGGGTGCAGGTACACTCATGGTGCTGATGGGAGGGAATTCCAGGATTTTGATCCAGCAACAGTGAAGGAACAGTAATTTAATTCCAAGTCAACGTGTGTGGCTTGGAGGGGAATTTTTATGTGGCGGCGTATTCAGGCAACTGCTGCCCTTGTCCTACCAGGTGATAGAGGTTGTGGGTTTGGAAGATGCCATTCAAGGACCTTGGTGAGTCAAGCTAGTGCATCTAGTAGATGGTGCATATCATCGCCACTGTGCATCAATGGAGAATGGAGTGAACACTGAAGGTGGTGGATGGGGTGCCAATAAAATAGATTTTGTCCCAGATGGTTTCGAGCCTTTTAACTGTCTCATGCAAACTAGTAGGATGCATTCTGCCACATTCCTGATTTGCATCTTGTTGACACCGTACAGGGTTTGGGAAGTTAATATCCAGAATGAAAAACTAACTAAACTTGAAAATTATGATACAGATCTGAACTCATTTTATTGGTCTTTACTTTGGGGAGGGGACACAGAATTGTCAGTCTCTGACCCTTTCTTGTAGCTACAGTTTTATGTGGCTTTTCCATTCTCAGGCCAATGATAACCTTCAGGATACTAACAGTAGAAAATATAATGATGGTAATGTCATTCAATGTCACAGAGAGATGGTTGGATTCTCTTAAATCTGCATCTACAATACCATTTTGCTCTGCGCTATGAAGAGTCACTTCTCAGATTTATTCAACCTACAAAGATCTCCTACTTTGGGTTTTTTTTTGCAGTACAGGACAGATTGTTTCAAAGATCATAAAATAAAAGATTTACAGAGTCATACAGCATGGAAACAGCCCTTGGGTCCAATCAGTCCATGCCGACCATGTTCCCAAACTAAACTAGTCCCACATTCCTATACTTGGCCATTATCCCTCCAAACCTTTCCATTCATGATCTTATCCAAATGTCTTTTAAATGTTGTGATTGTATCTGCATACACCACTTTCTCTGGTAGTTCATTCCACACAAATCTCTGTGTAAAAAAGCTTGCCCTTCATGTCCTTTCGTAAATCTTTCTCATCTCACCTTAAAAATATGCCCTCTAGTTTTGAACTCCCCAAATGTTGGAAAAAGACCCTTGTCATTCATCTTCTTTATGCCCCTCATGATTTTATAAACATCAATAAGGTCACCCCTTGCATTTGAATATTGCTGAAAAGTGAGATGTTGATGAAGCTTTTCATCATGCACTCAACAGGACTAATGCAAAAATACCGCATCTCAA